TTTTTTTTTTTTTTTTTTTTTTTTAGCCAATCAGCTCAGTAAAGTCTTACTGTAATCAATGTGACTGCATTTATCGACTACCAGTAAAACGAATGTAATTGACAATAAGAAAGCCAGCTTAAAATAAAGCCAAATTTTTTTCATCAAAAACGCTTTTTTAGTCAGTCGAAAGAAAGTCCTTCATAGTTTAATCTCAAAAACGGCAAAAAAACTTTCTGCTTAAATTTTCTGTCTTCTAATAGCTTTTACAATTATAGATTTAGAGCTCATACAAGTAAACTTTTTTTTTTTTTGCAGTTAGCATGATTATAATATCAAAAATTTGTTCAAAAATGGCATTTTACTTATCTATATAAACAACCGAAGACGGTCTGCTAAGTTTATTATTTAAATGTTTTTTGTTATACAACTTCTTTGTCTAGTTTAAGGAAACAAATGTGCTATTTTTAAAATAAATTTCTTTCTCATCTAATATGACAATTCCTTCTCAGATGTGTGAATAAATCACAAAAATGGCATCTTTGAGACATGCTGAAAGGTATCACAGAAGACAGCTTTGGCAAATGTAACTGATAATGCAGTATTTTTCTGTTGATTCACTTACTATTATATTTTTGTAACAGTGCTTCAAATTTGCATATAGAGTTGTTACGTAGCGACAATTAAATACACTCGTATGAATTTAACTTTTTTTTGCTTTTCTTTTTCTTTTATTCTTCACATCAGACTAGACTATTGATCACCTTTATGCAGTTTACAGCGGAAAAACATCTCCATCAAAAGGGTTATCTGTTATAGAGGAAGAAAACAGGAGGGGGGAGAAGCAAAGACTGTCCAAATCATTTAACAGTTTACTGCATAAGTAAATTTTTTTTTTTGATAAAGATTTAAATAAAATAAAAGTTTCCCAAATAAACAATTTGGAATTTAAATAACTTGCTGTGTTAAAGTGTTAACTTCTTTTATAGCAGATTTTGTTCTTAGACTAAGTCAGTTGGTTTCAAAAATAAATATATGTACTGTACGGTAAGATACTGTGAAAAAAACTCTACAAAATTTTATCGATTTTACCTCGTTCAAATTTTTTAAGGCCACATCGGCTTTCCCGTCTAACAAATAGCGTACAACCTCGCTATGCCCGTTAGACGATGCTTCCATCAATGGTGTTATCTGCAGAAATAAGGAAGGATATAATTTGAACGAACAAAACTTTCTTCTGTAAGTGACCAAATCCAATACGGCAATAATTATAAAACATAAAAAGACAGAAACATTTTCTTTGATTTTTTTTTTTCAAATCTATTTTTACAAAAAATATTCAAACCTTCGTTGTTTGTATACTCATCCTCAATGTTTTACATTAAAAAACACTTTCAAAACAAATAAAATTTTTTCTATTTTTATATCAAGAAGCAATTTCAATAAAGATCTGAAACATTTTTTTTTCAAATTTATTTACAGAAGAAAATATATCGTTTTAAATAGTTTGCTTATAAAAATACCTGTATCGACTAATCTATCTATTTACTCATTTATTTATTCGGAAATTTTTACTATTTTGAATTTATTTTTTTTATCTAACAATAGAGTTTTAAAGATAGCGTTAGGAAAATAGATTAATATTATTTGGAGCTGAAACTATCAAACTTTTTATATAAAAAGCAGTAATATTTTGCACTACTCCTACATTCATTGCGTCTTTTTCGTTAATTCGAGCACCCTTAGCCACCAGATAGTGAACTGTATCCAGATGACCACCAGCGCATGCACCGTGTATTGGTAACCTCTAAAAAAATTATGCAGCGACTTCAGACTAACAGAACTATTAAGCTTGCCTAAACTTTTTTTCAGTTCTTTCTTTATTTGTCGTTTCAAATAGCTTGAAAAATAAAATAAATATATCTTATTACCATAATCTTTATACTCTTTTT